TAGAGAGGATCCTGACCTTCTACAGGTGCACCATAGAGAGCATCCTGACCTACAGGTGCACCATAGAGAGGATCCTGACCTACAGGTGCGCCATAGAGAGGATCCTGACCTTCTACAGGTGCTCCATAGAGAGGATCCTGACCTTCTACAGGTGCACCATAGAGAGGATCCTGACCTTCTACAGGTGCACCATAGAGAGGATCCTGACCTTCTACAGGTGCACCATAGAGAGGATCCTGACCTTCTACAGGTGCACCATAGAGAGGATCCTGACCTTCTACAGGTGCACCATAGAGAGCATCCTGACTCTACAGAGGGTGGTGTAAGCTGCACAGAACATCACCAGGATGGAGCTGCCATCCATGGAGGACCTCTACTCCCAGCGGCTCAGGAAGAAAGCTCTCAGGATTATCAAAGACCCCCATCACCCCAGCCACAAACTGTTCTGTCTGCTGCCGTCTGGCAGGCGGTACCGTAGCATCAGGACTCAAACCACCAGACTCAGGGACAGTTTCATCCCACAGGCCATAAGAAACACCTGAGCTTGCAACTTTTTTATTGTTGTTGTGAAAATGTATACATATTTTTTTAACTTGTAAATTGCAGTGTTGAGGAACCTGCAATCTGAGTTTTTCATTCATTACATAACTACACCGTAGTTGTCTATATGTAATGACAAGAAACCTTAAAATCTTGAATTTGAACCTTGTTTTTCTGCGCTGATTCCCCTGTATAATATTGTAATTTGTATATGTGGTTTGAGGGCGTTCAACATGATTTAGTTTTGTGAAGGAAGCGGTGTTTCTCAGATTGTACACAGACCCACATTTGACATTACAGTGCATGCTGAAGACCATTCTCTTGCATGGATGCTCACTGTTTTGCATGCATTTATCAGAAGACAGGCTGTTTATGTCTGTGAGGTCTTGAGTGTTTGGAAGTGTGAGGGCTGTGCTGTGGTGTGTCCGGCAGCAGTGTGTTGTTGTTATCAGAACTGTTATCCAACACATGCCACCTTATCTCCTCTGTGTGCAGCCGCTGTTAGATTCCACTGCAGACTGTTAGGAAGGCAGCCCAGATGCTTTTCACATGTTACTTGCTGTATGTGTCTCCAGAGTCCCAGTCTGAGAGGCCCTGAGTTTGAGAGCCAGTGAGAAAAGAAGGGCCCGCTTTGTGGAGCTACTTCTAGCTCCAGGCAGCAGCATCAGGACACTGGTTTTCTCAGAATTAAGCTGGGCATTTCTGCAACACTCAACCACTGCATACATTTCCCATGAAACCATTGAGCTAAAGTACACGTCTGAACTACAGTGACAGTGCTTGTTGGTAGGACCTATCCAATGTTGGTTTGGGTCTTTTTTAAATGATAGAATTTGACAAGAGTTCTCTCTCCGCGCAGTCCAACACAGGTGTAAACAGTGATATGATATACACATGGGATTCTCCTACTGTGAACTGTCAGCAGTAAAGAAAACCTGTAGTTGCTGTGAAACACACATAGAAAAAAAACGAAGTCAGCAAATGGCACATGGCAAATATACTTTTTTAGGCTGCTTTAATAGTGTGTGATTTGGGGTTGATTAATTTCTCTTTCAGAGCCCCACTGTGCTGTTCTCTCTGCTTAGCTGTTTAATGGTCACTGAACCCCCCACCGACTCCAGCCTGCCGGGGCTCCTCACTAAACACTGAAACAAAACCTCTCGAAAGAAGAGGCAGCTTTCTAAAACAATACCGTTCTGATTACTGATACAAACTGACTGAAAGAAGGGCGGAATGACGAGCTCATGTGCCGTTCTTCAACATGTGAGAGGTGTGGCAAGGCCCTTCAGTCTGAACAAGGCCGTACCTGAAGGCAACATCTTAGATCAGCAATACTCGGAAAATAATGGGCAGGTGTGTGCAAACAACCTAGATTGGACTTTATACTTTTGCATTCTTCCCATACGCGCTGCTTGGTTCGTAAAGACCTGTGTGGGGGGGAAGCCTCTAAAAGGCTGCACTCAGCATTTCTAATGCAGAGAAGGCGTGAGCAGTGCACCCAAACAAAGGACAGACTTCCTGAAAAGCAGAACAATATGCTGTTTGACACCACATGTTATTTCCTTCTTCTCCTTCCCATGCAGTGTCACAAGACAGAGGCCAGGCCTGCAGGGGTGGGGCTGTGTGTCTGGTGCTGGAGCTATAAAACCATGGGTGGTGTTGAGGCTGCAGCTGAGGCCCTGTGGTGTCCCAGTCTGAGTAGCAGACACATGAGAAGTGTCGGGAAAACACGTCTTTGGGACCATAACAGAGTCATCATGTCCAGTTAAACAGTCACCTCCTGAGCCCCCCAGCTCGGCTGCCCAGCCCTCCCAACATGTCTCTCCAATATCATATGTTCCCATCCAATGGGCCAAATGAAGGGAGGTTTAGGGAAAGTGACACCTGTTTACAGAGCTGGGTCCTGGCTGCAGGTTGAGCCTTCCTGTCATATTTGGTTATTTGATCAGAAGAACACAGATCAGTACCTGCTGCTGCTGTGACGTAGAAACACTGAGACTCATGAGAGGCCTGCAGGCTGACCGTCTGCACACTGTGAGGACATTAGGTCACTTCAAAATGAAAACTGTTTCGGGTTATTCAACCCAAATTTAAAAAATGCTAACGGACATTGGCACAGTACTCAAGATAAAAGTACCTTTATTACTTATCGTAGCTGCACATACAAGATATCCAATTAAAGCTGAGATTCCACAGATTATTTAGGTATATAGTATCATCACTGAGTAATCCGAACTTGCGACAGGGGAAGCAAAGACAGACATCACAAAACGTACCTTTACGTAGCTTCTAGGGAGATCGTCTCACCGTAGCTGTCAATCTGATCAAAAGACGTGTTCAATGGCATTAAAACGAGAAAAAACGCGGTTAATCCATAGGTTTTTAACGTCTCTGTATAAAAAAAATATTTCATTCGATTCCATTGGCTTTGACGGTTAGAAAGATATGTCATATGTCAAAATCCAGCAAGGGGGGCCAGAGATATGGAAAATCCATCCAAATGGCCCCAGAAGAGTTTTTTTTTGCTAAATCTCTCTAAAAAGGTCAAATATCACTTGTTTTGCATCAATCTTGATACAGGGTACTTATTATATGTTTTACTTTAGATTCCTAAAGCTTTTAGTCTACTAACCCATCATCCAAGGTTAGTTTTTACTATAAGTACAAAATATGTTTTGGACGGACACTATAATTTACAGTTTTTCAGCATGTTCAATCTGAATTTTCTTTAAAATAAAAAACATCTATATTTATTCTGACTTTTCTACATCCAACTCACAGGTTTATCATTACTTTGAGAAAAAAGATTATTAATTTAACCCTTTTAGAAGGGAAGATATGGTCATTTGTTCTGGGAATGTCATTTTCGAGCCTGAAACCTGAAAAACAGGCTCGGGGTTTAACAGGTTAAAATGTTATGTAAATGAAGTTTGTTATCTGACTATCAGCTCATGAAATAAGAACAGGGGTATCATGCTTTGTTGTTTCTTGCATAAAAGATTTCAAAGTGTCTTTTTCTTACAAAGTTGTTCCTAATGGACAGAGACTTTCCCTGAATTCTGAGGTACACGTCTCATGGTAACACTCCGTACCATGGTTAAATGCCAGCAGGCTGGGGCTTAGACTTCTCCTCCTCTCATCTTTCACTTTCATAAATCTCAGGTTGCTAGTGTGGTTTTTTGACATCTGTGTTGTTGGAGCTCCCTCGTTTGGTAACCCTAATTCCTTCCTTGTGCCAATAAACACATCCAAAAGACGGGATAAGGATACTGAGAAATCACACCATGGTATTCCTCTGTTGGCATTGATGTGCTGTTTTTCATCATCAGTGACCTTTAGCCCAGAGAGTGTGGCAATGATACCCAGCAATAACACAGAAACACACAGTGTGTATGCAGCACAGAGAGAGGAGAGCAGAACAAACTCACCAGGTGAACATAAGGCACAAAGTAGCCGTAGAGGGCTGCTGGGATACCGAAGGCCCAAATGCGATATCCCAAAGACTTCCAGATATGAATGTTGAACATCTTGCTCATGGGGGGGAAGCGGCTGCCGGTGCGGGTGTTGCCGGGTTTGACGGGCAGCAGGGGCCTGTAGGTGAAGCCAGCCAGCATCAGCACAAACATCAGGATGCAGAGGACCCTCATGGTGTTCTGCAGGCCCACCCGCTCTAGCAGACCCGACAGCACGAAGGGCAGCGTGATGGTGAAGAGGCTGCTGCCCGCCGTCACGATGCCGTTCACCAGACCCAGCCGCTTCTTGAAGTAGTGGCCCAGGATGACCAGGCTGGGCTGGTAAGCGAAAGAGCAGCCACAGGCGAACACAATGCCATAGGTGAAATACAGGGGGCCCAGGGACCTGTGGGGGGACAACGACACACACACAAGTTACATCACTGTCTTAGCAATTTTGATTTTAATAAGTGTTCCTCAACAAGTTGTCATAGCTGTAACAAACAATGATACATGTTGGAAAGGTCAAAGACTCCAGTGTGTGTGCTTCAGGGAAGCTCCAGCATCAACATTATTAAGTCATTGTTTTATTATGGTTTGTCCTTGCTATTTCATTATGTGCACAATCAAGGGCTGTATAAATTGTAGGCCGACAAAACTGAAGCTACTGCTTCTTTCTGAAGCTATTTAGTGCCAGTCCCCAGGTGGTTGATATAGGTGTCCCATTAATATTAACATTAGGCCCCCTGCTCTTTACTCTATACAGAAAAAAGAAAAAAATGTTCCAAATGAGCACAGCAATGTTTATTTAATACTGACAATAACATCTTGTATGCCATCAACCATTCTGCAGATTAGAGCTTTGTAAATGTGTTTTCAGCCCTCTATAACTGAATTGTCTTTTGATGTAGTAAAAGCGGATTTTTATCTGAGGAAGACTTCCTGAAGACATGAATCTGTAACTCTGCCAGCAGGAAGCCCGTTGATTTCACGAGTGTGAATTTTGTCCACTTAGCTTTTCAACAATGGCAAAGGACATCGAACAGCAAATAAGTGATTTGGGTCTGGTGGAGAAGGTCCAAATAAATACAGAGTGGTGGGTTCAAGTGGTTACAAAGTCCTGTTAGGGGTAAATAAATCTTAGCAGTGAAATCACATGACTAAGAAATGTTGCACCTTACCCGCTGCAGAACTGTGAGGGGGTTGTGAACGCTTTTGACAGCAAATTGATAAGCAGTAATTAAACCGCTTTATTACTTGTTTATTGCACCTACGAGTGACAAAGTAAGGGTTGAACACTTGCAGCCTTGTTGGGATCACACATTTCTGTATGTGAGTGTGAGAGTGTGTCCTCACGTGTAGACATAAGGGATTCCAGGAAATGATGAACAACTAAGTGTGAGGTGCAGAGCCTCTTACCCACTGAGATTTGATACAAGTATGAACACATGCTCAGCAGCAAACAGCAGACACACACACTCACAGACTGGCTGGAGAAGCAATAAACAGCTAATAAAAGGTGATAATATGTCATATACGAGTGTCTCAAAACGGGACCAAAGTTTAAGAATCAGTTAATATACAGTATATAGGAACTAAGAAGGATGACATCAATCTGATAACCGAAGTTACTCACTTCCCCATAAACTTGAAGGAGTGAGGGTCATGTATATTTTATGAAGTGAGGACACACATTTGAAAATCTTAATTTCTTCCTTACGTGACAAATGAGCTGGCCAGCAGGCCAACCAGCCCAACAGCTGCCCCCCCCACTGCCGTTACTCTGCAGCCGAGGATGTCGGTGAAGACGCTGACGATGGGAGAGCAGAAGAAGATCATCCCCATGGAGAGGGAGCCCACCCACGCTGCAGGAGACACACACAGTGAGGGGTTATCATTTCATCAGGCGCTGCAAAACTAAATCACTGTTTGGATTGTATCCACATGTCTTAGAAACCTACTGTGCATGTGATCAAGCCTTGAATCTTTGAGTCTTGACTCTTCGAGCGAACAAAATAGATTGTTTTTATTGCCTCTGAAAAAGAGAGCTGAGGCCTCATTTATAAAAGGGATATACGCTCAAAAAATGGCGTACGCCAGTTTCTACGCAATGTTTGCGATTTATAAAATACTAACTTGACGGGAAGACGTGTGGTCCTCCACGCAAACTCTAACCCATGCATACGCACTAAGCACAAAAACGGGAGAGACGAGAAACTGCGACACCGTTGGCAGAAGGAAGAATGGAGAGAAATATGTGGAAATAATACCATAAATAAAATGTTACCTCTCATTTATCATAAATGAAGAATCAATTTTTCAAACATTGATCAAAGCCAAATGATTAAACAAACGCCTGTTTGCGACTCCTCAGTGCACACAAACACATAACTTGGATAAATAAATAAATACGGATATGTTATTTAAAACTACCTCGAATATGTTATGTTAATGTTATGAAATGTTTTCTCATAAATGATGCGGTAAGCAGGAGGACAGAATTACGTCTAAACTGACGCCGTTTTGCATTTCTATAGGTTGTAGATACGAGCATGGTTTTATATACTATCATGTTTAATCATGTTTTATGCCGTTTGCTAAGACTTGATAAGTCGCTCATAAAACACAGGAGGTATGGAAACTAAGAACACCATACGTATGTGGTAAATTGTACAGCTAATATAACACAACACATTACTTGTATTTCCTTTAACTGGTGGATATAGAATTGCTGCAGTGGAGACGCTGCGCACAGCTGATCGACAGCTGGGACACAAACCACCAAATACGAAAACATAATTCAGATCCAGTCGTCATGACTCCACTCCGGAGGGATTCCCCGATCATTTCTTACAGTTTCTCATCAAGGGGGTGTCTCTTGTCCCCGGTACAAACACACTGCCTGAGGAAGGTTAGGCTATGTGTATTTATTTTGTCATTAACCTTTTTCGGACCACTTATTTATTTATTTTGGTGACGATCCGACCTCCATGCT